AGGTTTAAGTAGAGATAGTAGGTTTGATAAGTATATCGTACACGTAGAAGTTCATGTTAGCAAATAGTCTTATATCACCACATTTTTCTTGTTAATGTCTGTATGCAATTAGCCCTCGGGCATGAATTTGCAATAAACTAATACTATTATATTGTCATTCCACAGCCCCAACAGGAACGAGCAGACAGAGCCGAGATGCACCTTCCAGGTCAACGCCCCTACTCACCGGGAGCGCAGGCACTATCCTGAGAAACGTAAGGAAGGCATATAGGTTTTCTTCTCGCTCACTCACTCTCACTCACTCACTAACTCACTCTCACTCAATCACACACTCACTCACTCACTCTCTCAACCACTCACTCACTCACCCTCCCACTGACTCACTGACACCACAATCACTCACTCACTCTCACCCACTCACTGACTCACACTCTCTCTCACTCACACTCACTCACTCACACTTACTCATTTATATATACACACACACTCACTCACACTCACTCACTCGCTCACTCACTCATCCACCCACTCACTCTCACCCACTCACTCCCTCACACTCACTCATACACCCACTCACTCATCATGCACTCACCCACTCACTCACTCACACTCACTCACTCACTCACTCACTCTCTCTCACACACACACACACTCACCCTCCCACTCACTCCTCCCACTCACTCACGCACTCACTCACTCACACTCACTCTCACACACACTCATTCTTTCACGCACACATTCACTCTCAATCAACACAATCACTCTCACTCACTCACTGACTCACCCACTCACTATTATTGCTTATCTGATGTGTATGTAAAACAGTTAACTGTTCTAGAATATGTCCCTTTATGAGAATAATCTGGAAGCAGTCTTTTAACTAGGCTAAATCAAATCAACTTTATTGCTCAACAATTGCAGCTGGTACAATGTATGGCAAAGAAACAACAAAGGTACATACACAAACTAATACTACAATATGATTCTAGCGGGCTAGTCCATAATGATACTAAAGCTAAAAGCACACCAAAAATAAGCCAACGCCCAAACCTCTGCTTGAAGACTACCAATTTGATGCTGTAGTCTGTAGCCTAGGCTCCTTTTCAGGCGTTCCCGGATTGGCTAGATCCCACGCAATAGAGCTTCTATTGCGTGTGATCTACATTTGATCAGAAAATACTCCCCCCCCCCCAAAAAAAAACCCAGCCAATCCGGGAACGTGTTATGACTTATGACACAAAGCCGTACAAAGAGACATGAACTTTCGTTCTTTCCTAGAGCGATTAAGTTGTATAAGAACTGAACTCTGTTCATCATGAGTGTTTTGTATTTTTAACTGGTTTTTAATTATGCTGCTTTTAATCGTTGTCTACATGTTGAGAGCTTTTACTGTAATTGTCAACGAATTTCATGTCACATTTTCTGTGAAACTGTGTACATGCCAGTTGATTTAAATAAAATTGAACTTGAACTTGAGGTTTGGGCTTTGGCTTATTTTTGGTGTGCTTTTAGCCTTATCATAAAGATCTGCTTGGAGATTATGAGTGACCCACTTTAAATTTGCTCCTGTTCTGTCCACTACAGAGGGAACCCAGCTGAAAATCTAGAGCGGTTGGACGACGTCTCATCACAACACTGGAGACATGGGCGCTGCAACAATTGGAGCTGCAGTGACCAGGAACCGGTGGACAACAACTGATGGAAGTCCCTCTAGTCAGCAAAAAATACACTGCACAATACTGCATATCATACTATACTCAACACTGACCAGTAATACTAGACATTTAGTATTATTAGCATACATACTCTTGAAAAGTGCCGTCCCTTCTGCAGTGACCAGGAACCAGTGGACAACTGATGGAAGTTCAACAGCAAGAAAATACACTGCACAATACTGTATATCAATGTAATACTAAACATTTAGTATTATTAGCATACATACTCTTGAAAAGTACCATTCCCTTCCCAATGTTCAATGAAACATTATAAGCTACACAAGAAAAACAATTACTCAAGAAACTTGATGGACTTTGAGAACTGTTCAACTTTTCACAGTTTATGAAATCTACCCAGTTGCTTGAGTACCATAACTGCTTTCTTTTGTATCTCATTGCCTGGATGTCTAACTCTCATTGATGTACATTATTAAGCTTTCTACTTTACTTTACTTTGCTAAATTTACTCATATCAATGAGCATTATGGTGTCCAAAATGAGATAGGGCAATACATGTAACCACTTGAAACCACTTGGCAGAAATTGTTCCAAGATTCACGACTTTTTGTTGTTGTTATCTTAATATTGTATGATCATGACAGTGAGATTTTTATTTATAGGTAGAGCAAGATGACAAACTGTACACGCTAAGGTTAGCAGTAGAGGAGAGACTGAAAGTACTGTTACAGTAGTTGCTAAGGATAAGTAACTTCAGCCACAAGTGCACACAATCATGTACTTCCTCATCACATATTTATTTGTTTCTGAAAAGCACAATTGCCTGGTATATTGCAGAATGTAGCCAAGCAGACAAGATCACGAGTATTTCACCAGACAAATTGCTACAAGTAACATAAATGATGGTACATGTAATACAATTGTTCTCAATCACCACATATGACTCTGGTGTGAGTTTCTTCTCTCTTCAATGTTGAGATAACATTTGTAATTTTGGTCTTCTTCCTTTGGGCCATCCAAAAATTGTATTCTGTTATGCATGTACAATGTACAATGTACAAAGTTTGTCTTTGGAAATTTTCCATTTTACACCAATATCAAACAATTTAGCATTGTCCAGATTATCAAATGTATTTAACATGCAGCGTAATAAGACTTATTGTATCCAGAACCGTGCCTATCTAGTAGTTCTATTCCTGAATGGGTTGGGGTTAGGATCAGGCACGGTTCTGGATAGTCTCTGTGTATCCAAGAACGTAGATTTCTATAACCCTAGGCACAATGGACTTATCACATTATTACATGTATGTCACAGTTTGTTTACCATGTCCTGTTCTAAAGAACATTTTAGAACAGTCAGTTAAAGAATAAAGATCATTTCAAAGTAAGGTATGTTTGATTTTTGCTGTGTGTAGTTTTGTTGACACAGCATTACATGCCGTAATGGGTGATTTAGTGTGACATTAGACGAAAGTAGTACTGTA